AACAGGGGAAGCACGCACAGCACCACGTCGTCGTCCTTGAGGTACAGGTTCGGGTTTTCTCCATCCACCTGCTGAGCTATGCTCGAAACCAAACTCTTGTGCGTGAGCATCACCCCCTTGGGCAGCCCCGTCGTCCCTGACGAGAACGGCAGCGCGACGGGATCCTCGGGATCGATGGTGACGTCGGGAATTGCCGTCTCGTCGGAATCAAGTACTTGGGAGAAGCTTATGCAGTCCGCGGGAGGGGCGTCGGTGGTGACCACAATCAAGCCGTCGCCGATCTCGGGGAACCCCTCGTTGACGGCGCGGAGCTTGTCGACGTACATGGACTGGGTGATGACAACCTTCGCGCCCGAGGTCTTGAATTGCTTGTAGATCTCCGCCGGCGTGCAGAAGGGGTTGGCGGCGGTGGTCATCGCCCCGAGCATGGATCCGCCCATGAAGGTGAATATGAATTCAGGAGAGTTCTGGAGGAGGACCATGATGACATCCCCCTGCTCGATCCCGAGCTTGGACAATCCGGCGGCGGTCCTGCGGCACAGGAGGTGGGTCTCCGAGAAGGAGTAGATCTTCCCGGTGGCGGCGGCGATGATGCAGGGGGCTTCGGACAGCTCGGGCAGCTTCTCGAAGCAGTAGGTGTGGAGAGGGAGATGGTGAGGGATGGGGATATCAGGGAGCTTCGACCGGAAGACGATCGTCTCCGGCGGCTGGGTTTCAGGCGGACGGCTCGAAGTGGGGATCTGGGGTTGGGCCTCATGGGAAGCAACGGAGATCATGATTGCTTAGATGGAAGAAGGCCGCTGGTGTTGCTACTCTTTCTGCAGGAAGATATAGCCAAGCAAAGGCAAGAAAAAGACGAACGAGAAGGAATCTGAGCAGCCAAGGCACCAGACGTACGCACCGTCGTCCTCCTCGAGAGGACAAGGAGACAGAAGCGAGGAGGACTCAAAACATGAAATGGGTGGTAAACGTGAGTAATCGTATACAGAAAAAGAATCCAACACTCGACACCCAAACGAGGAGGCAGCCCAGAACCTGAGAGAATGAAGGAAGCAAGAAATCAAGCCAGTTCTGCAGCTTCCGACGAAGGGTTCATCCGCAAGCACGACACCGGTTTCCTATATCAGCCTACCCTTGGCCATGTACACGGAATGAAAGGGAGAGAGAGAGAGGACAAGCAGCCGAAGACTTGGAACAAGAAGGAAATGTATGGATTCAATAAATAGGAGGTGGGGGAACGAGGGGTTAGGTGGTGATTGTGAGAGAGAAGGTGGTGGTGGTGGTGGTAGCTAGGAAAACAAGAGGCTCGATGAAGAACACAGCCTCGTCTGACCTTCAATGACGCATCCATCTCTCGTTCCCTCGCCTACCCTCTCAACATCCTCATCATTCAAAAACTACCCCCACCTACCCTCCTCCATCTATCATCTCATGTCAATGCTCGAAGCGCAACTGCTGCTACCAGAATAAGAATAATCCTCTCTCTCTCTCTCTCTCTCTCTCTCTCTCTCTCTCTCTCTCTATTCTCCTCTCTTTGAGCGAGACATGATCTATGACAAATCAAGGTTTTTACCTCATGCATGCCATTTGAACGAAGAAGGCGTTGACTCGACATCCATCCTTCTTCGATATCCAAACATCGACACCTACTGCAGCTCGGCAATCTAATTGGTTATTACTGTCGGCCGCGTGATCCATGTGCTGTAAGAGATTTCATTACCAATAACATATTTTCTGTTCTTTATTTTTGTTTTTCTCAAATAATGCTTAAAATATCTCTCACCAGATAGTCTCCCAACCCAAAACACTGTAATGAATTCACCCATCAATCTATCTACTTGGACCGACAGATTCTATGGATCGATCTAATAGGATGAAAATTAGTTTCGATGTTATTCCAATCAACATTTGGGAAAAAGAAGGCATATTTTTGGAAGGAGAAAAAAAAGCTAATCGCCGCCGGATGTCTCTCGAGACATATTTTTATGTTACAGCTGGAAATAATTGGGAGTCACGTTAGTGCAGTCCGACGGAAGCTGCCTCATGAGTCTTGGCGAAGTCGTCGTCACTCTCAAACTATTTTCCGGCATTAGCTCGGTTGATAACAACTTCACGAGTGGGAATGGGGGCATCGATGATTCGTCCAGCGATTGACGTCTCTAATGATGTTATCATTGAGCCACCAAACTCGTGTTGGGTAGGTGAGATTTCAAAGATTACCGTGCAAATACAGCATCTAATAGCATCTAATCTTTGGTCATTTCGGTGCCGTGCAAGCCTTTAAGAGCCTCCCCCAAAGAACATCATCAAGACTGGTGAGATGTTGATCGGCGAATCACATCTGCTCGAGACACCGTCGGCTACACATAGCAATGAATAAATACAAGATATTAAGATTTACGTAAAAAACTTTGAAGGGTAAAAATCATAGGACAAACTAGAGAAAATATACTATAAAAGTAATGAATATACAAATCTCATAGTCTTACGCTCAAAACCCAAACAACAATCACAAGAGAATAATTGTGATACAAGGATTACGTTACTATGCATAATATATAAAATTTTCTTAAGTAATCACAACAAGAGTCTACAGTAAATCTGATCTAATCTGGATGATTGAGAACATCTCTATGTTGTCCTTGTCTTCTTTTCTTTTTTTTCTTTTCTTATTTTTTTTAATCACGTTGGTATTTTTTTCTGTCGGCTAAAAAAGGAAAGAGGTTGCGGGTTATTAAAGCCCATTGTGGGCTGAACTAACTGGTCATCTACCTAATAATTTATTTTTCTTTTTTTCCTCATCTATTTTTATTATAGTTATCAAATCTGAATCCGACCGATTGGTCAAACTATACACTAATAGGATGACAATAAATGTGAAAAGAGAGAGTTTGTTGCTTAAAACTATATTTGTTTTAAGAAAAAATAATATTATTTGAATGTTTGACGACTTATGTCTTAAATATAATAGTTTTATTTTCTTTAATTTTTTATAACATTTCTTTTTTGATATTATTTCAAATACAATTATTTTTAACAGATCTAATATATATATATATACTAATTAGACCATCTAAACCTTAAAAGAGATTAAATATTCTAAAATTATATCCGCTATCAAATAAGAGTATTTTAAATCTTTTTATTTATAATAACGGATAAATGGCAGAGAAATAAATTGGTGTGTTTGGGGCCGTGTTGTTGGAGCATAAATAAGGCCCAAGCCCATTATGATGGGCCCACCGCCTTCCCTAGACGAAACAGAACCCCCAACCCCGGCCTCCTCGCAGTGGGAGGAGAGGCCGACGACGGAGAAGACGACCCGGAAGAGAATACGGCGAGAAGATCAAGTTGGTGAGGAGGACTAATACAAGCGCAATTATAAAGAATCGGAGAGCGGAGACGTCGTTCAAGATGGAACCCTAACCTTAGAAGATTCCACCAAGAACTCAGGAGACCACGCCGAAGCAGCTATCTTGCGTCACGGAAAGGCGGCAGTTTGGAAGGAGGGGAGCCGGGACAGTGTATGTAGGGTTACGGTCAGATCACCACGTGAAGGGCCGAGATTGCTGTTCCTGACGCAGTCAAGTCTGGCCACCGCAGCGTAGAATAACAAGTCAAATTTTGGATCATTTTGTCGCGTATTAATATTTATTGGAGTTGTTTCACCCACCAAACGACATGCGGTAAGAAAACGACAAGTGTCCAGATCCGTTACGGAAAGCCTGTCGCAAGCGGATCAGATCCGACTCGGACATCAGTCGCATGCAGAATTCAGCTTGATGACCAAAACTCCATAAGTGTAGATTTCTGTCGTCCGGAAGGTTAGGAGTTCCCAAACAACCTAACCCCAATCTTCCTCGAACGAGCCTTTCGATCGCATCATTATCGAAAAATATTTTATATACATCTTTTATTGTTAAACAAGTCGATTTTGCTCATATTATTTGTCAGAATCATTGTCAAGACATCATCATCATATGATAATTTATAATCGAATTTGACTGCTTCATAGTCTTAGTGATCAATCTTCAAAGGCCCTTACGTTATCTTTTCGATCAAATCATTAGGCAAATGTAGGGTCTACAGTGAAACTCAATGGTCAATAAATGAGATGCTCGACTTTTGTTTTTCTTATACTTTCTTATAAACTCATATTTTATCGACCTTTCAAGCTTTAGAATATTCAATGAATTCTCAACCCCTTTCATAAGAGATTTAAAATCTTTTCTTCCACTTTTTCTTCTCCATCCTCATCGACCTCGGGTTGGTCATTAAGACTAATACGACCGAATCAAGTTACGAAACGCCTCTCGATAATGATGTGATTGAATCTAATCATAAAATATTATCTAATGATAACATAATCAAATTAGATCGTGAAACATCTCTCAATAATAATATGATTGAATGAAGCATCATCTAAATTTATTCATAATAAATGATGTGGTTGAATTCTTCACGATCTTAAGTTGACATCAAATGCACGCTTTCGTGGTTAAATAATGATCGAAGATTTGGTATAACTATTATCGTTTTACAAATCAATTCCAAAGACAGACAATAGAGTAGTACCCTTTGATTTACCTAAGTAAATCATATGCTTCTACCCAAAATCCTCAAAATCTATTCCAAGTTGGGTTCTACTGAGTCATTTTCTGAATCCCACACTCGCTCACTCAACAATAAACTTACGACGAGGTTGGACACCATCAAGCTTGGATTGTCTCCAAACCAAAGTATGTAGTACCGAATGGTACCGCCCGGTACGGGCGATACGTACTGGTCCGACGATATACCGGTACGCAGATCGCCTGGTACCACTACAGTGCTATAGTATAAAAATTATAAAATAGTTTGATGTATCAGGGTATACCGCTCGGTACACCGGTATCGTACCGTACCGAGCCAACCTCGAAACACCGGTACGATACGATATTACATACCTTACTCCAAACTATATCTCATGAGAAATATAATCGCTGCAACTATTGCAACTATACGCTGCAAATAGTTATCAATCCATAATATCAAGCTACATATGTAATTGACACGACTACATTTCCATGCCATCCCTCCAAAAGAAGAGACTTGGATAGACCCAAATAGGGGAAGGCCATCGAGGCTCCCCCAACTGTGCCAGAAACTGTGCTCGAAACAGCCTTCTGGAGATGGTATCACCACTACTCACGGAGACTTGGCTCCAGGTCTTGTCATCCAAGGAATACTCCACCCATGCATCGCATCCAGGCGCCGCCACATAGACGCAGTTGCTTCTCCCTCCCCAGCAGCTCGGATCGACGCCGGAAACAGGGCATTTCCCTCCGCAGTCGATGAACAAACAGTGGTCGCCCAAGCTCTCCACCTGCGCCCACTCCATCCTCCCAAAGTCTAGTCTGAACACATGGATGCCAGTGATCCACGGGCGGCCCTCTTGGACGAAGAGGACCGCCAAAAGCTCCCCCCCGCACTCCACCAGCTGGGGCCCGAAGTGCCACCGATCGTAAGCCGCCGGCGGGTGAAGCCCTCCCACGTCCAGCCGCTCCACCTTGAACTCGGGAACGAACTCCAAAGTTAGAAGCCTTCCGATGTTGCTTATGGCAAAGATACGATCTTTGAAGCGGAGGACGCGGGCGATGTAGGATTGCCCCTTCCTGAGGGGAAGCCGTGCCCATTCCGGGTGAGGTTCTCCTATCCGGCAGCACATGAGGGAGTACCTGGAGTAGAAGAGGAGGAGGCAGCAGTCGGGGGAGGCCGGTGGCGCCGTGAGGGTCCCGTAATAGAAGGAGACGCGGTCAGGGGGGAGAGCCGGGAGGAGGATCTCGGCGCCGGTAAGGACGTCGGCGAGGACGGGGTCGCTGCGGGGGCGGCCACGAAGGAGGATGAGGTAGCCGTGGGAGTAGGCGAGACAAAGGTCGTCGGCGGCGGCGGACGAAACCGGAAATAGGGATCTGTACGGGGTTCGGAGGTCGTCGAGGGCGTAGAGGGAGAAGCCATCGCTCTCGTCAGCTGCGAGGAGAGGTCGAGCTTGGCGGCGATGGAGATGACAAGGGGGGCGGAGGAGGAGAGGAGGGCGGGAGGAAAGGTAGAGAAGGGCTGCGGAAGAGCGTAGGAGGAAGCGCCAGGAGCGGCAGACGGCAGCGAAGGCGAAAAGATCGAGGAGGGAGGGGAGGCGGCGAAGGACGGCGAGAAGCGCGAGCGCCGGCAGCTCCGACCAGGGGCGGTGTGCCATATGGCTGTCTTCTGTGACCAAATGCCCGATACGGCTTCGCCCTCGATGGTCAGGAGCTCGTCGTCGTCGATTGGTCAGCAGAAAAATGCCTTCGAATGTCCGTTGACTGTGATGAGTCTTCTCATAGTAAAATAACCGTATTAGCCGTAGATATCATGAGTAATTACAAATGACCCATTATAATTATCTTTAAAGATTTATATTCATATTTCCGTAATTTTAAAAATAAAATATCTAGATCTATTTACCTATCGATATTAATTTTACTAATAAAAATATAAAAATAAAAAAAAAATAAAAAAAATAATTTTAATATTTGATGACGGACGATACTGTCACGTGCTCACGTGTTCCAAATCCCCGACGCCAGTGCTCGTCAATTGGCACCGTAGACATAAATACTGTAGACCTGACTGTACACAGCAAAATGTCATGCTATCCTCACTATTGACCTTCGCGATGTCAATGATTCATTTAAGGAGCTTTTCTACAATGAAGTCATTGCTGAAGAACTTTCCGTTGGTATTACTTGTGTTTTTTATGTTTCTAAAATGAAAAAGAAGTATGTTGCTTTCAATTCATCTTTAGGAGGTCATAACTCTATATTAGAGTAGAAAAACGATATTGATTGATTGATCATTATACTACAGGATGGCCGTCAGAGGCACAGCAAGTGTTGCAAGTGATATCTCAAGGAATTTGCAAAGAGTGTATCTATTCAAAAATTTCTCAAAGATAAACCATTTAAACTAAATGCGAACTTGGATGGATAAAACTCTAATGACTAGGAAGAGTAATTGGGGCAGGAACATACAATGTCTTCCAAAAATTCGATATCAAATTACAAAGGTAGCAATGAAAACAGTGGAAAACCATGGTCGTCTCAGATCAGGTCAGCGGGTCAATCAAATATATGATTACATATGGTGATGGATGGTATATGTTGGGTGATTCCAGCTTCCCATATTGTACAAGCTTACTGAACAGTGTTAGAACACCATCTTTGAGAAAGATGATCTGTGTGCCGCAACAGGGCATCCTTGATTCTTTCTTGTGCATCTGCACTGCAATTGTTTGTCGGCCGGCCGAGCATGGTGCCTTTCTTTTCTTCCACATTACGATCTGTGACAACGCAGGAACACACAAACAAAGCTAATAATTGCGTATGAAACCTATAGATAAAATGAGGTGCATGTTGCAAAATTTAACATCACCAGACACAGCTACTGTCTTTGGCTTTCTCAAGTACTAAATCAAAATGATTCATGATATTTGAATAGCCTCCCATGAGAAGCATCACTGACACACACTGATTCAAGAAACACTACAGTTGAACAACCAAATGCAAACAAAACCTTACAGATTTCATCTTATAAAATTTCTCTCTCACTTGATCTAAGAAAACCTTACAGAATCAATCAAACAAAACCTCAATGTCATGGATGCATCATCTTTCAAAAAGATAATGTTCTTTTATACCAAAGAAGCAAAAAGTTAAAAAAACGATTAAGTTGCATATGTTTAAGGCAGGAGGAGATCACTTAAAGGAAATTGAATAAAAGCAAATATCTAGTTACGAGTAGGATGATTTGTACCTTAAGAAGATATTTACAGCCTGCAATTTGGTCTCCTACCAAGGATAAAATTTGACTTAGTTTTGACTTCGACATTATTTTTTTTTATAAACAAAAAGAGGTGCATGTGGGATGCACCTTTTCAGGACCTCTGTATACAAGAGACCCATCATGCAAACATTTCAAAAAGGATGGCAACATTGTAAGCCTAGGAAACAAGATATAAGAATGGGTAAATTACCTCAAAAGCGCCTCTTCTGCTGAGGATAACCAGGATTCTGCATTCCCAGCCCTGGATCTTTTCGTCTCAACTGTTCCCAAAAAGAGAATATATAAACATACAATTACTCAAATTAGAAAAAATAAGCGCATCTAACAGGAAAAAAACATATGGCTGCAAAGACTACCTGTTGCTGATGGGCCTGAGCAGCAGCACCCCTTTGCATTGGAATATTACCAGAAGTAGGAGCACCAACACCAGTTTGGGTTGCAACATTAAAAGCCGGCATGCCTGTGTTCGGCATCCTTTGCATTCCAACCACATGCATAGGCCGAGGCATAGACCTTGGAGGCGCAACAGATGCACCTGCTACATTACCAGAAGCAGCATTTCCAGAAGATACCTAATAACAGAATCATGTGATCAGGGAAAATAAATGAAGGCCATATAGTTGCAGAATCCAATTCAGGATGGTCCTCAAATTTTTGTTTCATTTACATGGATTATTCTAAATGGAAAATTGAGGCAATAAATAAATGACAATAAGTTGTAGAATGTAGATGGACTTGATTTATAAACAAAACAAAGAAGTTGCAAAACTGAATTGTGGTACATAACCAACAAAACAAAGATATAAAAAAAAATGTAAGTTCCTAACATGCCACATTTCAGACTCCATTGTTCATTATTTATGTCTGAACTGAAACGACATTGCATTTATCCCCATTTGAACATTTCAAGAACAATAGGTATTGTATTTTGAATAGACTTGGTTATATACAACTCAAGTCCTATTGTAGATGCTTAATGAGTTTTCTCGTACAATGATAGTTTATTTCTAACCTGGTAGATTAATTTGCATCATACTTTTAAGTGGACTTATACTTGACCAAGATAAAAGGAGATGAGCCTTCAAGACCTTACCAAAAAAAATCTATTACAGACTTCATTGCTACCTTGGTAGAGTTTATCCTTCTCTGTGTTGCCAATGTAACACCTTACAGATGTATTTCCTCTCTGTTACCAGATTTCATGGAGTAGAACTTTGCAATGGGGCACTTAAATAAAGAATGTCATAATTTGTGTAATGTCATAAACAATAGTAAACATTTTAAGGATCAGAGCATTATGATAAGAGTTTTCTATCCTTTTTATCGATGAAACTATTTGTGGCAAGTTAAATAATTAAATAGATATCTTAAACTTGAATTAATCAGACAACAGCAAGAGTTGTAAGCATGTGGACCAGGTTAATCATAGTAGCTAACTCTGTTAACAAGTTCATGGTTGGAGGATATCAGAAAATCAATAGTCTCTTCCTTCTTTCAGAAGTTATGTGAATATTTTTTCCCCAATAAGTTCCATGGTGTGCAAAGAGGATACCAGTTCAGGCATAGTTTAAAGTTTGTCAATACACATTTTTCTAATGCAAGATATTATGGTGCACTTGGTAGTTCATACCACTAATTCTAAAAATTTAGAATAATCAATCATAAACAATTCAACACTAATCAGGAAAACTCTCGAGCAATTTTCTTTTTCCTCCAACATCCAAATTCCAAATATACAATTGCTATCTAAGTACAATAATGTGACATCAATTATTACAACAATTGAAAAACAATTGGTTTCTATTAAATAACAGTTCGATACAGCACAATACAAGTTTGTAATTTTTGCATCTGGACCAAGCTTTCACAAATCTATTTTGAAAAAGCTGAGTTGGAGATGTAACTTCAAGCCTCGAATGGCTGATAAAACTATGTTCATTGTTCAGTTGAAAAAGTTTAATAGCAATATATACCAAAAACAAGCCAAACTTTTGATAACTTCAATCGAGAAAATAAAAAATAAAGCTTGCTTAATGAATTCGGTCCATGCATAGACTAATTACGTGGATATTAAGACAATGAACTGTCTAAACTTAAAACAACTATTCCATGAGATGACAAATTAATTCCCTTCAGTTGCTACTAATTCAAATGCAAACCAAAAAGTATTAAACTTAGACAAGAATTGATCAACCTCATACGTTATGAAATATGCAGTACAGCATTCTAGGTCTTATTGAGAAGAGATAATCTAACAAGCCTTTCTATTATCCCCTTTTCTACCATTCATTTAATCTTAACTTATCAATATCAAAATTTGAACATCGTTGCTTGCACTTCAAATTAAGACAAACCTTTGTTACAAAAGATTTATAATACTGAATATCATTTTCTGAAGTACTTCTGTTAGTTCTTTTTTGGTGGTTGGCCAAATTGTCTTTTTCACGATTTTGACCCTTTTTGGTGATAAAAATCCCACGCTGGCTTACTAATAGTTGGCTTGTGATCAAGGTATCAAATATTGATACCAGTAAAATTATTTTCAAGCCAAGGAATGCCATTATCTTGGCTTTGATATTTGTGTTGCAATAAACCAACTGGACAGCAAGCCAAAACTTAGGTACTTGTGTGTTCCTTCGATGCATTGCCAAATGTAACAATCCTAACACTTTGGTATCTGGCATTAACATCAAAATTTCCAAAAGTTCAGTAAAGGATATAATTATTCATGATTAAAACTGCTGACTACATTCACTATCTGCTTAGCATACCGGTTGAGAAGGCTGGACAGCAACTGTTCCCTCAAAATCTGCAGTAGTATCAACTGGACGAGCAGGGTAATTAACAATTTTTTCTCCTGGTTGAGATGGTACCAGAGCACTGAGCAATCACAGCAAATTTGCATTGTTAAATTACAAGAAGACAAAGGTGAAATGTGTAATTACAAATCATGGAAGGCCAGGCATTCATGAGAAAATAGCATGAGTTCAAATGTTTCCTTTATAGGACAAAATGAAAATAATAACTAGATGCAACCTAGTCTGTGCAGTATGAACAGAAAATAACTTACTTCCGTCCTGGCAAAGGATCCATCCGAAAGTACCTGAAAAGCCAAACTGAAAATATGTTCATATAGAAGAATAGAAATAAGTGTTCTAATTCCAAATAACATATCTAAAATTTAGAGAAGAAAGGTACTAGACAATTGTCAAACAACCTAAACATATACATGCATCACAAAAAGAATGCATTGAATAAACTTTCCAACAGCTGCAGGGTCAAAATTATGTAAATGATAAGTGAAAATATAAAGTATTGTCAAGTTAGTTTTGTTATCCTGCAGGGTTGAGATGAATTTTGTTGAAAATCCTTGCTGCACAATATTTTATCAAAATCTGCTACACATTGGAGGTTGATGATGGGTTGAATTTGTATTTAAGACTTTACAAGAAAACTATTAACAACTACACT